CCCGCGGCAGAGTCAGAAGAGGGAGGGAGGAGTGAGAGGGGAAGGAGACGGAGGAGATCGTTGCAGAATGTTGGCGGTTTTTTTTTTTTTTTTTTTTTTTTTTTTTTTCAAGGTGTTGTTTTGTACCCTCTCTCTCTCTCTCTCTTTGTGTCTATCTCTCTCTCTCTCATTTGGCTTTCGTCACCCTATCGATGGAAGTACTTCCCTCCCCACCCTCTCTTTCTCTGTCACACACACATGTAGACACACACACACATATACATACACACATGTGTACACACACACACAGACACACATACACATAGACACGTGTGTGGTAGTGAAACCAATTATTTGATGAGAGTTGTTTTTTTTCCCACAAAGAGTAGAAAAAAAGAAAAGTGAAATCAACACAGCTTGGGATACCATTGGCCATCGTCTGAAACTGAAAAGCATAATCCGCAGGAAACCAACACAACGAAACCCCACTCTGCAGGCTGCGGTCCTTTTAGCCCCTCCTCTAGTCCCGGTTCCATACCGATGCCCCATTCGACGTTTTCTCTTCTGTCTTTCCTCAGATCCCCATTTCGTCATCCCGAGCAAGGATCGCGCCCAATTACGATCCCGATTCCCTCACTCCCTCTCTCTCTCTCTCTCTCTCTCTCTCTCTCTCTCTAGCTTTTTCGTATCCCCTCCTCCGCCCTGGTCCCGACCTTGCTCCCATGCTTTCTCTCTCTCCCACCCTCCCTCTATCTCTCTCTCTTTGTCTCTCTCTTCCTCTCTCTCTCTCTCTCTTCCCCCCCCCCCCCCCCTTTTTTCAGTAACTTTACTGTTAAGACTTAGCCTGGCCCTTACTGGACTCGATCCCCAACTTGGACATACAGAAAAGACGCGGTTCTATAGCCTGGCCTTAACCGGACTCGATTCCCGGACCTGATATTCAGGAAAAGACGAAAATTAATCCATCCTAGTGCGTTGTACCGGCACATAGGAACTAGGATCCAACACTGCACCTTAATATTCATTCCTAAATCTTTAAGCATAACGGGACACGGTTTGGACGCCAACGGAGTTCGTCCCAGTTCGAAAATACCTGCCTCTCGACCGACTCAAGCATCTGGACATCCGCCAGAATACCTGGCTTGGGATCGCCTGAATCGACAGAAGACTCCGGATGTTGTCGCGTTCGCCTTGCAAGATATTCTCTGACGACCTCACCATCGTTCTTCTGGAAACGCCGTGTTCTTCACCACCGCCAAGATGGATCATCGTCGGAATCGCTCCACTCGTTTTGGGCTAGTCTTGCCATGGCGTTCTCCTACCAACGGACGAATCCTGCTCCTGAGCCCTCTACCCCTGACTAATTTGTCTACCCTCTTGCCACCTCCTCATTGGCTTCGATCTTGTTTTCCTACCCCTCCTCTTCCCTCCTCTTCCTCCATTTTGCCCTCTACTTATTGTACTTATACCCGCTTTCTTCCTCCTCCCCCGTCAAGGCTCCTAATCAGTCCGTTTCCGCTGGACGGACGAAACCGGTCAAGCCACGCAGCAGGCGCCGCTCCGCCAAGAGGGTCCGCCCTCTTCGATTGCCAACTCCATATCCAGGCGGCACACGCTTTCTATAAACTACTTCTGTATACTTTGGAAACCTATGTGCATTCTAGTTCGCTTTTGAAAAAAACATTGTGAAATCTTTATGTGCTCGACGATCTTGGTTACTATTGGCTTGAGCTTGTATTGTGTTGTTTTATCCTGAATCCTAGTTCGATTGCATGCTTGATGACCTTGTCTTAAGACTCTATCGCCTTTGATCTTGGTTACGACTGGTTCGAACTTGTATTGCTTCACCCTCATCAAGGTTCGGTTGCTTGACTGTACACACTTGTTAATCTTGTCCTATTGTTTACTTATGCTCGGTGATCTTAGTTTCTATTGGTCCGAACTTATTTCCCTCCATCCCACTCTTTGATCTCGGACGAATCTGTTGTCATAGTCCGTCCAAACGTGCTGTTTCCACAAGGTTACAACATTGCTGATGTACCTGATACGACGGTACACGCACGGCTCCTTGAGCTCTCATGAACTTACTAACCATAGTAGAGTTGCACGCTACTTTTGGTGAGTGCACAATATCTCTTCGGTTCCATCCCTTGTCCTACCTTATTTATTTGTTCTTGATCTCTTTGTTATTTGATTATTGACTCTAGTCTCTTGAATATGTCTTCAGGTTATTCCATTCTCGGAAGACCGCCGTTCCAGAGACAAAATGAATTCAAGTATTCAGTGTTGGACTTGCTACCAATACGGACACGTCTCCCGCCAATGTCCGTATCGTCAGGGAAATCAGCAGAATGCGTTCCCCGCCCCTGTTCCCGCCAATCCCTTTGCACCACCTCTGCCCAATGCCCAACCACTTGCGCTTCTCGCCCCACCTGCTCCTGCTGCCCCTAGCGCTCCTCCTCAACTCCCTATTATACCTCGTTTTAATCCGAATCCCAACCCAAATCGGTCATGGCTATCCAACCAGGTTTTTGTCATTGCTTCGCGAGTTGAGGGCATGGCCTCTTGGATAGACATCCAGAAGGCGAGAGACGAGGAGGCGCGCAACAAGGCCAAATAAGAAGAGGAATTGGCCAGTAGAAAGCTAGCCGAAGAGGCTAAAGCTAAGGAGGAACAACGCAAGAAAGAGGCTGACGAAGCTAGGAAGCGAGAAGAACTTGAGAGGAAACAGGAGGAAGCCAAGCTTGCCCAGCAACGCCACGCCGACTATATGAAAGCACTCCAGGATTCTTTCGCGTCGTACACTGATGATATGGCTAAGGTCTGGGTGGATCGGCCAATGCTAAAGTTTCGAAAGAATCCGAGGAGATACATGAAGACAGGACCTGCTACTTCCACAGCCGGTGATGAAGTTCAACGATCTTACGACGGAACTGGCAAAGGTTACTGGCGAGAAGAAGAGATCGAATGCGGTGGTGATCATGTCAAGCCCGCCTAATGAATCCGCCAAAGGCAAGCAAAAGATTGAAGACGGAGCTTCCGTTAACGAAGACAGATGGATGAGGGAGATCGAAACAATGAGAAGAGAACTGCAAGCTAAGGGAGAGATGGTTCCCCCGATTCCTCTTCCCCCCGCTGCGCTTCTTGCCCCACCGTCCCCAGCTACACCCCGATCCGACTTTCTCCCCCCATCTCCCCACCCCCCCTATTGTGCCCCGACCTCCCGCGCCTCCCCACTTTGCGCCTTCCACCCCCACTACCCCGACGCCGACCACTCCCCGTTCCGATCCCGTTCGATCCCGCTAACGCCCGTCACCCCACTGCGTTCCTGCCGCTCCTGCGCCTCCCCACTTTGCCCCTTCCACCCCCACTACCTCGACGCCGACCACTCCCCGTTCCGATCCCGTTTGATCCCGCTAACGCCCATCAACCCACTGCGTTCCCACCCACCGCCCGTTCCCAATCCCGATTTGTTCCCCCCCCGGATCCCAACGCCATTCCTTCATTCGCTGTGCCCCGCTCCAATCCCGATCCACGCTCTCCTACCACGTCACCCCCATCCTGCCGCCCGACCCCCGACTTCGCTCCCATCTCTCTCTCTCTCTC